CCCCCCCGGCATCTGATCGTGCCAGGGAGCAAATGTGCGGCGACTCAGGGGATCTGTCTGATCCCGCCGTCGCGCGTCTCTTTTGATGCGGCTCAAAAAAGCCGCACTTCAGCTGCACCTTTCCCCCCAGTGTGACCGGGGCCAAGGTCTCATTTATGTCAGGTCCAGCCCTCATAACAAATTAGTTCGACACCCCTGTCCTACAGTGTTTGGAGTGACCATCACTGCTTCTAACCCCTCTTCATTGATTCCAGTTCACATCTCTCAGCACCTCACCAAACTGTCCCAAGTCCCATTCCCCTGATCAAAGACGTCCATCCCCAAGAGCCTTTGCACCTGGAATTAATGACTTGAGTGGAAATAATCTGCATGAAGGTTGAATGGCTGCCCCGGGCCCTGGTCTCACAGATCTGGGCATCTTCTGCCTCCAAATTCACATCCGTAAGACCCATAAACAGGAATGAATACAATATATGCATCAGAGCACTATAAGTTTTGATGTTGCAGATTCTATGGATTTTCCATGTATGTGGTGGGTTTTTTTGGGGGGGGGATGTCTGCAGAGGTCATTTCGGGGGGGATTGCGGGGGATCACAGTTCCCCCAGGTGAGGTGCAGGGGGCGGGGCATATGACGAAGTCCCGCCCCCTGCTTCCGGCCGCCCCGTTTCCGGCCCTCATTCAGCCAGGAGGAGGCAGGAGAAGAGGGAGGGTAAGTTGCTTCCTCCCCGCCTCTCCCCACCCCTGCCTGCCTGGGGCCAGGGAGGGCCTTGGCGGGGCTTCCTCGCACACCCTCCGGCCTTGCAGGTCCACCGCCGGGCCCCTGATGTCAGGGGGTGTGGCATATGCTAATGAGTTATGCTAATGAGTTCCCCTAGCTCTTTTTCTACGAAATGACCCCTGTATGTCTGTCAATGAGCCCCAAGAATACTTTCTGATGCTTCCCAATCCCTCCTCAAGCTGTCCTCTATTGAGCCCGACTGCTGTTTCGTCTAGCTCAGTATTTTTCTTGTCTGACTGGCAGAAGCGCTACAAGGAAGGCCTTTCCAAGACGCTCCTGCTAGAGATCCTTTCGAACAGAGATCCCAGGGATGGAACCTGGGACCTTCTGGTGTAAAAGCACGTGCTCTGACCAAGGAGCCACAGCCCCTCCCAAGCAGAAAAGGAAATTAGGTGGGTGCCATATGAACATATGAAGCTGCTAGATGCCAGGTCAGAACGTTGGTCCCTCTAGCCCAGTATCCTCTCTGGCAGTGGTTCTTCAAGGGTCCCAGGCAGAGAAAGGTCTTTTCCAACACAAGTTACCTCAGATCTCTTTAACTAGAGATACCAAGAGTGCGGTCACATGTGCCAGACAACGTGGGGAGAAAGTGAGGCTATTTGCTCCGTAGTAATTTGACCTGCTGCGTAGTAATTTGAGCTGCGGTGGCTCAAGTGGTTAAGACGCCGAACTGCAGGCTGTGGAAGGTCGGTAGTTCAGCAGTTCGAGACCCGGGTGCCACATGATGGAGTGAGCTCCCATCTCTTGTTCCAGCTCCTGCCAACCTAGCAGTTCGAAAGCAAGAAATTGCAAGTAGATAAATAGGTACTGCTTCGGTGGGAAGGGAACAGCGTTCCGTGCGCCTTGGTGTTTACTCATGCCGGCCACATGACCACGGAAACGTCTTCGGACAGCGCTGGCTTTTCGGCTTTGAAACGGAGATGAGCACCGCAACCCTAGAGTCGGATTCGACTGGCTTTCGAGCAAGGGAACCTTTACCTTTAATTTGACCCACGATCAAACGCAGTGGCGGGTGAATCGGTTTTTTCCCGTCGCCGCGTGTTTCCGGTGCGCTTCGACGAGGGATCACTGATGCGATGGGAGTGTGCCGGAGCGATCACACGGGGAAGTCCGTTTGCAGCCCACCGCAAACCCACTTGGTACTGTGCTTCCCCCGGTATTTTTTAACTCCGCTTCTTCGGGGAGACGAGATGGGTTGGCAACGGGTGTGGGACGCTTGCCAGACGTTCCCGTGCGATCGCGCCCTTAAAATCCGCCTGGCAGGCGTGCCTCTCACGTGGCTACTTCTGTGTGTGATCGGGACCTAGGTTAAGTGGAAAGTGATGCACGTTGAAGAGAAAGCAATCCTAACGTTAAACATACGCTGACAACCTGGTGGAGACTGAGAGGGAAA